CAAAACAATCCTAAGCAAAAAGAACAAATCTTGAGGCGTCATGCTACCTGGCTTCAAATTATACTACAAGGCTATGGTAACAAAAACAGAATGGTACTGCTACCAAAATAGATATATAGACCAATAGACCAGAAAAGAGGCCTAAGAAATAACACCACACATCTACAATCATCTGATCTTTGGCAAACCTGACAAAAAGAAGAAATGGGGAAAGGATTCTCTATTTAGTAAATGGTGCTGGGAAAACTGACTAGCCATATGCAGAAAACAGAAACTGGACCCCTTCCTTATACCTTGTACAAAAATTAACTCAAGATGGATTAGAGACTTAAATGTAAAACCTAACCATGAAAACCTAGGCAATACTATTCAGGGCGTAGACACGAAAGACTTTGACTAAAACACCAAAAGCAATGGCAACAAAAGTCAAAATTGGCAAATGGGATTTAATTAAACTAAAGAGCTTCTGCATAGCAAAAGAAACTATCGTCAAAGAGAACAGGCAGCCTACAGAATGGGAGAAAATTTTTTCCTGTCTATCCATCTGACAGAAAGCTAATATCCAGAATCTATAAGAAACTTAAACAGATTTACAAGAAAAAAACAACCCCGTCAAAAAGTTGGCAAAGGATACAAACAGACTCTTCTCAAAAGAAGACATTTATGTGGCCCACAAACATGAAAAAAGCTCATCATCACTGATCATTAGAGAAATACAAATCAAAACCACATTGGTCAGGAAACAGAGGGATCTAAGATGGCTGAATAGGAACAGCTCTGGGGTGCAGTTCCCAGTGAGAGTGGTGCAGAGGGTGAGTGCTCACTCCATTTCCAAACAAGTTTTCACTGCCCACAGACCAGGAGATTCCTGGACTGAAAAGCGCCAGAAGTTTTCAGCGTGGCATTTTCAGCCAGTGCTGTGTCTGCACACAGAAACTCACATAAGCCTAGTCTGCCTTTTTGGCTGGTGCCGGAGTGCCTGGGAGACAGAGCTGCCCATTCAACTGAAAGGGAGGGGGCTAAGACAGGGAGCCAGGGGATGTGGCTCGGCGGGTACCAGCCCCACAAAACAAGCAATCTGAAATGTTCTGGATTGAGAGTTTCGTAGCAAGCAGTTGGACCCAGGACCGTCCAGCTCAATGTGAGGAATGGTGTCCCCCACTACCAAGGCAGTTCACACAGCAGCTGGGCAGATAGCCTGCAGCAGCTCAGCAACACCTCTGCTGGCAGACTGTGACTAGACTACTCTGTGCAGGGCAGGGCATCTATGAAAAAAGGCAGCAGCACAGCAGGAACTTATAAAATAAGTCGACCTTCCTAGAACAGAGCACCTGGGAAAAGAGGCAGTTATGAGTTCAGCTGCAGCAGACTTAAGTGTCCCTGCCCAGCAGCGCTGCATGGAACAGTGGACCTCCCAGCAGAGCACTTGAGCTCTTGTAAGGGACAGACTGTCTCTTCAAGCAGTTCCTGACCCTTGTATACCCAAAGAGACACCTCATAAAGGAGAGCTCAGGCTGACATCTGGTGGGTACCCTTCTGGGATGAGGATAGCAGAGGAAGAAACCTGTGGCACCCCTTACTGTTCTGCAGCCCCCGTGGGCGATACACAGGTGAGTGGGGCCTGGAGTGGACCTCCAGCCGTCCTGCAGCAGAGGAGCCTGATTGTTAGAAGGAAAACTAAGAAGCAGAAAGAAATAGCTTCAACATCTACAAAACGGACATCCACTCAGAGAGCCCATCCGAAATTCACCAACTGTAAAGACCACAGATAGATAAAACCACTACGATTGGAACAAACCAGCGCAAAAAGGAGGAAAACACCAAAAACCAGAATGCCTCTCCTCCTCCAAGGGATCACAACTCCTCACCAGCTAGGGATCAAAGATGGATGGAGAATAAATCCAATGAATTAACAGAAACAGGCTTCAGAAGGTGGGTAATAACAAACTTCTCAGAGCTAAAAGAACACATTCTAACCCATTGCAAAGAAACTAAGAACCTAGAAAAAAGGATAGATGAGATGCTAACTAGAATAAACAGCTTAGAGAAGAATATAAATAAGTTGATGGAGCTGAAAAACACAGCACGAGAACTTCACGAAGTATACACAAGTTTCAATAGCCGAATTGACCAAGCAGAAGAAAGGATATCAGAGATTGAAAATCAACTCAATGAAATAAAATGAGAAGGCAAGAATAGAGAAAAAAGAGGGAAGAGAAATGAACAAAGCCTCCAAGAAATATGGGATTATGTGAAAAGACCTAATCTACATTTGATAGGTGTACCTGAATGTGATGGAGAGAATGAATCCAAGCTGCGAAATACTCTTCAGGATATTACCCAGGAAAACTTCCCCAACCTAGCAAGGCAGGCCAATATTCAAGTCCAGGAAATACAGAGAACACCACAAATATATTCTTCAAGAAGATGAACCCCAAAGCACGTAATTGTCAGATTCATCAGGGTTGAAATGAAGGAAAAAATGCTAAGCGCAGCCAGAGAGAAAGGTCGGGTTACCCACAGAGGGAAGCCCATCAGACTCACAGCGGATCTCTCAGCAGAAACCCTGCAAGCCAGAAGAGAGTGGGGGCCAATATTCAACACCCTTAAAGAAAAGAACTTTCAACCTAGAATTTCATATCCAGCCAAACTAAGCTTCATAAGCAAAGGAGAAAGAGAATCCTTTATGGACAAGCAATTGCTGAGAGATTTTATCACCATTAGGCCTGCCTTACAAGAGCCTCTGAAAGAAGCACTAAACAAGGAAAGGAACAACCAGTACCAGCCACTCCAAAAATGTATCAAATGGTAAAGACCATGAACACAATGAAGAAAATGTGTCAACTAACAGGCAAAACAACCAGCTAGCATCAAAATGGCAGGATCAAATTCACACATAACAATATTAACCTTAAATGCAAATGGGCTAAATGCCCCAATCAAAAGACACAGACTGGCAAATTGGATTAAAATTCAAAACCCATTGGTGTGCTGTATTCAGGAAACCCATCTCACATGCAAGGACACACATAGGCT